ATTAGGTAATTAATAAGCATGGATTTTTATCAAAACCTAATCAAATCTGTGTATTGGCCCAGAGCATCTATGCACCAAGTTTCATCAAAAACCGATGTATGGTTCTTGAGATAGCAGTGGAACAGTCGGACACACATACACACACACACACACTAACTGCAAATATTCCCATTGTGTGCTTCGCACATGGGAGTCAAAAAATAGGAAATAGAATGAAAAAATAGAAACGAGAATTACTTATAATATGCATGTTGGTGTAATATTTAGTTCACTAATATGCATGTACACACTCTTAGCTTTTCTTCTTTGTGTTCGGAACAGTCGTCTTTGTACTTTTCTACTTGTATTATTTTCTCATCTTTGGTTATTTTTTATTTTGTCTAAATGTTGGGGGGATCGCGGATCATATTGTTTTCCTTTTGCTACGTAAAGATCACATTTTAAGGTAGAGATGCAGGTTGGGAGACTATATTTTTAATTGGCTCTAATTACTGTATTTACATGAGTAAAATATAACTTTTACCCATCAAGTTATAAATCATTTGATATAACAGTATATCTATCAAAATCAATGTTAAAATTGACACTTGGGTTTACAAATTCAATTTCTAAATAATTTTCTAAATTCTGCCTCCAGATTAACACAAAATTAGAAGTAGTTATGTATGAAATTCTACCATAAACTAACATGATTTGTCCCAGGTCACCTGTGTACCAAGTTCAGTGAAATATGGTGATTGGTTATTGCAATTTATGCAAATTGGGTAATTAAAATGCATAATATGGATGTGAAAACATGAATTCATCACAGTCAACTTTATTGAGCATAAAATAAAAGTATATATGTATAATAATGGTAATTTTCAAATGATAAATTACTGGAAAAATCACAAATTAAACATCAAATGAGTATTGATTATTTAAGTAAAACCACCATCCAACATGTACACCACAAGGTTTTGCATGAAATATACGAATGAGCATTTAAAAAAAAAACGCCTAGGTGAAAGAAACAAAATCTAACTGCAAGAAGATGGTCTGGTAATGTTACTTTTCCCATTTTAAATTAGAATTGTATGAATTCTATTATGTCCACAATTTTATTCCAGGCCTGAATAAGAACGCCCTAACCATGCTATAGCACAACTTTAAACACTGTTGCCATTGGTAACAAGTATCCAGTTGTCCAAACATAACATTTCTAAAATGTTGACAGACAGGAACATAATTCACATAAATATCTATAATTCAAAAAAAATAATATGGCTCACAAAATATTAATCACATCTAGATTCAAAATATCATAATGTATATTTTACTCATGGATTGCAATCAAATAAATATAATATATTGCTCTTTATGATAAATTTTGTTATTTAATGTTAATATATTTATTGTTAAACTAGACATTGACAAGTATAATTTACATATCACTTGTAAATATTTATATAACATTGACATTTGAAAATCGTACACTAGAAAGTCACTTTATAAACAAATCGAAATATTCAAATAACATGCATTAGAACATGTTGTAACACATTAAAATAATTAACAGTTTTATTCATCCAGTTTGCTGTTTCATGGTTTCGAGGTCATTGTGCTTAGACAAAAATAATACTGTTACTTGCCTAATTATGAATGGGTGAAAACATCACCGCATATAAAAACAACGCATTTCAATATTATATGTATGGACTTAACATAAAATTGAAATATGCAAAACTAATACCCATTGTTATCATTATAAGTTTGATTAAAATTGTCTTCTCAGAAAACTGATTGTGGATTCATTCAAAGATTAGGATTTAACATCTATCAGTTGACAATATTTGATTAAATCAAATTTATATATAACATATCATCATGCACTGAGTTTGAACAAAAATGTGGTCTTTGCATGTCAGAGAAATGGCCCAGGATGCACACATAAGTGCCAAAATTGGAACTTGATAATTTTGAGTTAATATTATTTCAAACTACTAGTTAGATACGTAAGTAAAATATCACATTCTCTTCTAAATGAATGTATCAGTCATGGTAATCTTTCCTCGAGTCAGACAATTGTTCATTAAATGCATTTCTGAAATTTCTTTATTGATTTTTAGTGTGATAGAAGTTTTACAAAAAGCAATAGACAAATAGGGATAATATTAAGTACATACAAACACACAAAACTTAAGTAAAACTTAAAAAAAGTAATGTTGGACACAATGCATGTCTACAGAACACATGAATACATGTGAAAACCTGACAATCTGAGATTTTTGTTATTTGCACTTCCCTCTTGTGTTCTCATTGTGAACATATAGTACTTGTTACAATATTGCATATCAAGAACTATTTTGTTAGCACTATACTCACATTTTCACAAGCATATATTCAGGGATACAGTATAAACTACTGCAGTGGAGTTTCAGTATTATAGTACAAACAGTTTCTTACACATATATACTTGATATGACAATTGTAATCCTACTTCAAGTGCAAATGCATTAAGAAATACAATACGTTATATATATAAACTATATATAATTTATACATAACCTTTCCACCACCTTTTTTCTTATATTCTTCAATATTTCTGAAAATAATCCCTAACTTTGGAGCCAACAGAAAAAATTTGAGTCAATTTTCCATTTTTATTTTCAGTTTTGTTCTGAAGGAAAGTGCAGAATATAAACAGGACTATTTTGTGAATTTGTGATGAAAAGAGGGAACTGGTGGTGAAATGGTTACGAGATATATCTACAAGACTTGATACTTGATGTGTATCTGTATCACTTTTGGGCGTCAAATTCTTGGTTGGTTGTCACTACAGTCACTACATGGTGTTTGTCGTCTCACTCAGTTTTCACCTCTGTCTTTGCCTTGGTTCTTTCTGCCACATCAATGGTTGCCATATTCTGACATGCAATCAGAAGCTGGACCACACTGATGCCTGTTTTGACAAGTGCTACTGGAGTACTAATGTAGAAACATAATCTCCATAATCCAATGGAGAAGAAGAGGAATGGAACTGGCAAACAGAAAACCGTTAAAATGTAGTTAGAATGTAGTCAGTAACAAAAGATTACGGTTACTACATCACAATGCAAACAAACAAACACACATGTTTTGGTCATTGGTATGGTCACAAGAGACCAAAATTTCAAGACAAATATGTTTATTCCACAGTCAGCTGGCGCACAAGTGATAATAAAATAAATGCAATATTTACTATATGGGGGGCACCATCTTGAAAGCGCCATGAAACTAAATAAAGAGACAAGTTGTGAAATGCAGGAAAAAAATACAAATTTTTCACTGCCAAATGATCCGTTGGGGTTATATTAAGTCTTTAACAAAATTCGGCTGAATTTATCGTTTTTGTGTGGACAAATTCTTTGCACATGAAAACCTAATTGCACATAGAACAGAGTACACTTTCTCGGGGTATTTGAAACCAAAATTGTTATTTAACTGAGTTGCAATGACAATTTTGGGTTTCAAATACCCGGGGAAAGTGTTCTATGTTATTACACAGTCCCTCTATCCTCAGTCTGGAAACGCTTTGCAGTCTATTGTCCCAGGGCTGGTTGCAGGTAAATGAACCTTGGACAATTAGCCATGAAGCTGAGCGTACACTAACTTAAGCACTACAATGATTTATCAAAATACGAACATCTGAAAGAAAAACTAACCACATCACCAAAAGTTAAATGTACATATCTATTCACATTGAAAAAAATATTATAATTGAACGCAGTTGTCTTACTATAAAAGGGGCCAACCCGCTGACAATGCGTCGAGTAATCAAAAACAAAATGATGCCCTTAAATAAATTCTCATCGGCGCAAAAAAGTCTGTCTGCTCAATTTCTGGCAATGCTAAAGAGTTGATACTACAGGGTGTTATTCTTAGAGACATGATGTAACCAGCATTGTAAACTGCATTCCAAATTTGAAAACATTCTGACTTGCGGTTTTGAAGAAGAAGATGAAATTGTAAAGTTGATGCCGACGACGATGGACAATCAGTAACTTTGTCGACAGCGGAGCTAAAAAACAATGCTCTTTCTAAAACACATGACGGATAGAAGGGGCCAACCGGTCAAGGTTGTTAGAAGTGTTCCAAGTTTCGATCCCTGACAGAGTACCTTAAATTTAAGTGCGATATTCACGAATAATATTGTCAATATGCCACTATGGAAAAACTTGCCAACTAAAGAATTGTGTTGAGCTTTTAACTCTATATAAAGTATCGAAATATATGGTTTATTTCGCTTGCAAAAACTAGAATATGAAGGGAACAATGAATCAATCGTTTCAATAGAATGCTCTGATATCAAGAGAC